ACTTATAAAAAAAAAAACCCTGACCTAAGCTTAGTATGGAATGAGATATATGTTTTCATAATTGACCTGTGCAATACCCGTGACAAAACTATAACAAGTCACTGGAATGTATATAGCCTAAGATCTTTGACCTTGGCATTTGACTTTCTTTTTACAAAACTTTTAATCCTGGCCAAAGCTTTGCACCTGATGAGACAGGACTTTAATATTTTCTTGTACATGAACATAGCTGTAACAAGACCTTCCAAATATACTTTGATTTTTAACCTCATAAACTTGACATTGAAGTTTGATCGACTTTCAAATCATAACTCGATCCTTGGTCCTAAGCTTTTAAACAGAACATCCCACTTTAAAAATATATAATAATTTTAAATATGATGAGCCGCCACGACAGTCACAATATGCCATAGACGATTGCATCCCATCCAAAAAGAAAAAAAAAACAAAAAACGATTAAAGACATTCCATATCATTTCCATGCAGTGAAAATACACTGGGTCTCCTTCTTGACAACATGACAGCTAGGGTTTGTAGAACACAAATTTTGGCACTATTATCCTACTGTTCTACTGTCATGAACATAGAAGAAATTTGAACTTTGTGTTGGTTGCTCTTCTTTTATGATAATTTTTAAAATTTCACACTTTATTGATTAATTATGTAGATATGTATATCTTCACATTTTCTCTGGAACAAGTAAACAACATAATGGAATTTTTAGATTTCTCTCGATTTATGTAATGGAGTAATCAGGATACATTGGCATTTACAATGTAAAGATAGTTCCACACAATTATAAATCTTTGTCCATTGTTATAAGTTTCTATATCCTTTGCTTCCTCCTTGACAGGCTTAGACTACAAAATAAAAAGTAAATAAGATCAATATAACATTAGAGTCAAGGCATCTTAATCACAATAAAATCATTATAGTTCATTAAACAACTCATACGTTCTCCACAAGATGTTACGTTTATGAAGACACCCTAAAAAGTAATTGGATTCATTTTCATAATGCAAACTATGTTGAAGGTCACTCTACTAAAAAGATGGGAACTAGACCCTGAATGAGGGAAGAAAAAACCGTGATGAAGGGTATATAGACCCTGGTGATTGGTATACAGAACCTGGTGATAGATAAACTGACCCGAGTGATGGGTCAAGAGACCCTGGTGATTGGTATACAGTACCTGGTGATAGATAAACTGACCCTGGTAATGGGTCAAGAGACCCTGGTGATTGGTATACAGAACCTGGTGATAGATAAACTGACCCGAGTGATGGGTCAAGAGACCCTGGTGATTGGTATACAGTACCTGGTGATAGGTATATAGACCCTGATGATAGTTATAGATGGTGGTGGGTATATACAGACCCTGGTGATAAGTATAGAGACCCTGGTGATAGGTATACAGAGCCTGGTGATGGGTATACAGACCCTGGTGATGGGTATACAGACCCTGGTGATAGGTATACAGTTCCTGGTGATAGATAATACAGTACCTGGTGATGGGTATAGAGACCCTGGTGATGGGTATACAGGCCCTGGTGATAGATAATACAGACCCTGGTGATGGGTATACAGACCCTGGTGATAGGTATAAGGACCCTGGTGATAGGTATACAGACCCTGGTGATGGGTATACAGACCCTGGTGATAGGTATACAGAATCTGGTGATAGGTATGCAGACCCTGGTGATAAGCAAAGAGACCCGGGTGATAGGTATACAGACCCTGGTGATGGGTATACAAACCCTGGTGATGGGTATATAGACCCTGGTGATAGGTTTATAGACCCTGGCGATGGGTATACAGACCCTGGTGATGAGTATATAGACCCTGGTGATAGGTACATAGACCCTGGTGATAAGTATACAGACCCTGGTGATAGGTATACAGACCATGGTGATAGGTATATAGACCCTGGTGATAGATAATACACACCCTGGTGATAGGAATACAGACCCTGGTGATGGGTATACAGACCCTGGTGATAGGTATATAGACCCTGGTGATAGATATACAGTTCCTGGTGATAGATAATACAGTCCATGGTGATGGATATACAGACCCTGGTGATGGGTATACAGACCCTGGTGATAGATAATACAGACCCTGGTGATGGGTATATAGACTCTAATGATAGATATACAGACCCTGGTGATAAGTATACACACCCTGGTGATAGATATACAGACCCTGGTGATAGGTATATAGACCCTGGTGATAGGTATACAGAATCTGGTAATAGGTATACAGACCCTGGCGATAAGTAAAGAGACCCGGGTGATAGGTATATAGACCCTGGTGATAGGTATACAGACCCTGGTGATGGGTATACAAACCCTGGTGATAGGTTTATAGACCCTGGTGATGGGTATACAGACCCTGGTGATGGGTATACACACCCTGGTGATAGGTACATAGACCCTGGTGATAAGTATACAGACCCTGATGATAGGTATACAGACCCTGGTGATAGATAATACAGACCCTGGTGATAGGTATACAGACCCTGGTGATGGGTATACAGACCCTGGTGATAGGTATACAGACCCTGGTGATGGGTATACAGACCTTGGTGATAGATAATACAGACCCTGGTGATGGGTATATAGACTCTTGTGATGGGCATACACACCCTTGTGATAGGTATACAGACCCTGGTGATAGGTATATAGACCCTGGTGATAGATAATACAGACCCTGGTGATAGGTATACAGACCCTGGTGATGGGTATACAGACCCTGGTGCTAGGTATACAGACCCTGGTGATGGGTATACAGACATTGGTGATAGATAATACAGACCCTGGTGATGGGTATATAGACTCTGGTGATAGGTATACAGACCCCGGTGATGGGTATACAGACCCTGGTGGTGGGTATAAAGACCCTGGTGATAGATAATACAGACACTGGTGATGGGTATACAGACCCTGGTGATAGGTACATAGACCCTGGTGATAAGTATACAGACCCTGGTGATAGGTATATAGACCCTGGTGATAGGTACATAGACCCTGGTGATAAGTATACAGACCCTGGTGATGGGTATACAGACCCTGGTGATAGGTATATAGTCCCTGGTGATAGTTAAAACGGACCCTGGTGATAAGTATACAGACCCTGGTGATGGGTATATAGACCCTGGTGATAGGTACATAGACCCTGGTGATAAGTATACAGACCCTGGTGATAGGTATACAGACCCTGGTGATAGGTATAAAGACCCTGGTGATAGGTATATAGACCCTGGTGATGGTATACAAACTATGGCAATACATAAATAGACCCTGGTAATAAGTATACAAACCCTGTAAAAATAATTAATTTATAAAAGAAATATATGATAAATGCATAAATAAATCAATAAATTAATGCAAAAATAAATCAATCAATCAATAAAGAAATAAAAAATAAAGAAATAAATAAAAATACGAATAAATGAATGCATAAATAAATAGATAAATAATAAATAAATAAATAAATAAATAAATAAATAAATAAATAAATAAATAGAATACGAAATAAATGAAGGAATGAATATGATAAATAAATAAACAAACAAATAAATGAACTTCTTAATGAATTAATCAATTACTTAATTATTAGAATAATAAATAAATAAATAAATAAACAAACATGCATACAAATTAATAAATCAATGAATTAATTAATAGATAATTAATTAATGGATGGAATAATTAATAAATGAAGGAAAGAATGTTATAAATGTATTTAAAAAAAATACAAATATATATTTTTTAATAAATTAATCAGTCACTTAGTTAATTAATTATAAATATAATAAATAAATAAATTAAATAAATAAATAAATTAAATAAATAAATAAATAAATAAATAAATAAATAAATAAATAAATAAATAAATAAATAAATAAATAAATAAAAACTAACTGTAAAGTTGATTCATTTATTCTTCTGCTTTTTTAAATAAAAGTTGATCGAATTATGCAAAAATTTCTGCATCTGACTATAGTATCATTCCGCATTACTAGTTTCCATTATATATTCCGAATTTCCTCTCTGCTGTTTTCCGATCTCGATGGAAATTTATTTCACGCATGCGCTCTGCCTGGTTATAGAGGCTGGTTACGAGATCCAAAACAGCATACATATTATACCTCCCGCCAGACATGATTCTTGTGGATGTAAGCGACTCCTTATTTTTACCCGGTGCGTCGATTTACCCAAAAGGACCCAAAAGAACCCAAAAGGAACCCAAAAGGAACCCAAAAGGACCCAAAAGGAAATTAAAAGCAACCCAAAAGGACTAAAATTAAGGGGATAACTGGCTATTCAATGAACACTTTCACGCTTTATTGAAAATAAAACAGTAGTTTTGGGGGAAAAGTGTGTGGTTGGGGTGGGGGTATCCCCCTTCCCCCACCCCCACCCCCGATACCATATGCCTAGAACAAGTCATAAAATAAAATTTACTGCTTCAGTCATATAGTAAGATATGTTAAAATAGAAGGGGAAATATAATAATACTTTGTTATTTTCAGCTCAAATAAAACAAAGCATATCTAACCAGATTTAGTGTTTGACGTGTTATATAAGGCGTTATGTTATTTCTCAAAGAAAGGTTGCAACAGTATAAATTTATGTTTTTGCCAAATTTTATGTAAACTTATGATGTAATATTCATTATTTAATTCAAATTATTAATTTTCAGTATATCATAATACATGTGTATATTCATTTTGAGTCCTTTTGGGTTCCTTTTGGGTTCCTTTGGGGTCCTTTTGGGTTCTTTTGGGTCCTTTTGGGTTCCTTTTGGGTCCTTTTGGGTTCTTTTGGGTCAATCGACGCGCCCATTTTTACCTATATTCAAACATTTGTTAAGAACAAAAAACATAATTTGTCTTTGTGTTAGACTCTGCCTCATAATATTTGGATTAAATCTACCCTGAAATTAACCATTGTCGTTGAAATCATACAAATAGCTTTTATTTTATTTTTAGCGTTGCAAGCGGTCTGCAAATTTTGTAAACAAACGGACAGACGCAATAACAATATAGAAAAGACGGATGCTGCTGTGTTTGTAAACAGATATGGACATCCACGAATTGTTTATGAGTTGTAGACGCGGAGATTTACAGAAACTGAAGTAAGAAATTCAATATGTCACTTCGTTTTTTATGATTTTTTAGAAATGCAGTTTCTTGCACCTTATGAAATGTCATTCGCGGCCTACTGTGGTTATTTAGGGTTGTGCGAGTGTTGGTAAAAAAGGGTAGGCAAACCCGGGCCGGGGCAAATTAAAAACCGGGGCTGTTCGATATTTTTCGATTTTCTGTCTTAATACTTCATCAATCAAGTTGAATTTTTCAGAATATGTTTGATATAGGTTTATTTGTATTCGCTGTAAAAATTGCCTTGAAACACTCAGTAGTATAGATTTTATCGACAGTTGCTGATTTCCAAGTTGGTAAAATGGGTAGGCAGTATCAAGTCAATATATTTTACGTGTAATTTGACAAATGTGACAATGAACAAGTAATCTTTTGAATTATTCCGATGTTTAATAATGTGTATTATCTAGAAATAGTTATTTCTTTACTGGGAAATGCTTTTTTTATGCTTAAATACACATTTTCATAATCATCTTCCTCTCCCCAATGAACATAACAAGCCACTTTTATTATCCCAAGCAGCTTAAATTATGTTTGATTAACATGATTAAAGTTTGGCACAAGACTTTGTATTAATATCCATATAATTATATGTCAAGATTCTTAAAATATTTTCAATATCAATAAAATTTAAATACAAACATCCAACAAATAACTTGAATAGAGTTTTTTTTCCAGGTGACAATAGTAAAAAGTAATAAACAAGTATTTCGGATTTTTCGTGTTTGTTCCGGGTGATTGGATCCAGTTTTAATGACCGGTTTTTCTAAAAACGTGTTAGTTTACTCAACAGAAACACATTTCAAGGAAGAAATAATTAAAAATAGTTTAGATATACTGTTAAACATTAGAATAATTAATAAGTTTATTAGCTTTTTGTCAAATATGTCCAAAAAATCGTAAAATGTCGGCTTACTGCTGCCTACCCATTTTACCAACTTGGAAATCAACAATCACCGATAAAATCTGAAATACCGAGTATTTCAAGATAAATTTTACAAGGAAAAAAAATAAACCTTATAACAAACATAATCTGAAAATTTCAGTTTGATTGATAAAGTATTAAGACGGAAAACTGAAAAATCCTGAACAGCCCCGGTTTTTAATTTGCCCCGGCCCGGGTTTGCCTACCCATTTTACCAACATACGGGTTGTGCGCACCAGTTCTGGGTTGTCACATTCATAAAATATTTGCGTAAAATTAAGGGAACCATTATAGGTTCGAATTAAATCTTACACATATCTGTCACATTTTCCCGTCACCCTACATTTGGTGTAGTGTCACATATCCTGGAGTCAATTTTGCTCTATATTGTTCAGAGTAGAGTATCTTGGAGAAATGGGGGGGGGGTAAGTCTTAGAAAAGGGGGTTGTGAATTAGGGAATAACTGTCTTCTCATTTGTTATTTGTGACCATAATGCTGATTTGACAGTTGCATACAGGGTTTTACTGGCTCCGCTGACACATCGTTGGTAAAACGAATGTTTGCAAGCATTAAATCAGCATTAATGGTCACGAATAACAAATGAGAAGATAGTTATTTCCATTCTAATACAATTTATGAATTTTATTTGATGTTACATTTTATCTTGTTGAGTTTGTGAGATGAAATACGTCAAAAGAAGCATTGTGTTTTTGCGTCGTGCCATTATGACATATCACAGTCAAAAACTTTCACTCTTGTTAATGCTCATTTAACTGCCTGAAACATCAGTGTATTAGCTGCAATCAAAATGCATTTTACAAAACAGTTGCATTAGAATGTAGGTATCAAATGTTGGTTTTCTTGGAGTCAGGTTAGCTTGCAGAGGACTTGTTAAGAACCGAGGGATTTTTAATCCACTTTTTATTGGTGAAGTATTTTCCATGCCTCTACTGTACATGCATATAACAGGGAGGCTATGATTTGGATGTCCCTTACATCCAATAATCAAAGCCTTTCATAATATGAGTTGTATACTGCTCTTTTGCAGGGCAAATTAATAAAATTAATAAACTAATAAACTTAATAAAGTTAAAGCCAAAGTTTTGTTTGGTAGATAAAACCAACTGCTGTTTAATTACATCACTTATTTCACCAAACTGTTTCAATTTCCCCTGCAATGGATCTGTACTGCAGTCAATTATTAAATCATTCCACAAAATTTGATCTTTTTCTCTCATATTCATCATCATCATCCATACACTTAATATGTATTACTAAAGAAATGAGAATAAATCATATGTTCAATAAATTCCTACACGACTCCTGAAATTCTACAAAATTACTTCTGTACATGGAGTTAAGTTTAATGGTAAAATACATCATTTACCTTAAACAATTTATGAAATCTTAATTTATATCATACTAGATTGATATTTCTGACAACTTCATGTAGAAGATTCATGTTGAAGTTTTAAATTTGATTGACAGGTATCTGGTTGAACAAAAAGAACTGGAGCTCAACATCAGAGACAAGTGGGACAGTACTCCTTTGTAAGTAAAAAAAAAAAAATCAAAGTACTAGAAGTACTGTAAGATAGAAGCATGTGCTTAAACTTTTCAGAGTAATATAAGATAATCTTCTATAAAGAAGATATATTAATTGGCATCCATTTTTGTTTACAGTAATATTCCAGATTAACAAATGAAAAAGTTAATGTTTCTTAAATTCATTTCTTCTTTTATTTACTTGTCTTTCATAACACCTAGATTGGACATTACTGACTGTAATGACATTATTTTTTTTATTTAAAGGTAAATGGATTGATTATTTACTCAGACTTCTAGATTTAAATTTATGACTTTCAGGAACAAAAAACCTTTCAGATCAAGTTTGTGCACAAATTACAAATACATATTAACATGATTCTGAAAAAGGGAAGTAAGTCACCATTCATGAATACTTCTCATGAGTGTGTGTATTTGCAGACAGAAATCAGAGACCTTAAACTGAAATATGTGTACATGTTTTGTGTGTTTTAGGTACTATGCTTGTTTGTGTGGGCACAAGGACGTCGTTCAGTATCTGCTAGAAAATGGTAGGTTGTCAGAAAATGGTAGGTTGTCAGCACTGTTTTGTAGGAAGGCTTAATATATTGCTAGGAAACTGGAGTGACATCATCGTGTTCATAGATCAATGTATTATTAATAAAATAATATGATGATAGATTATCATATTTACTCTTTTTATACAGTGGATATCAGTCATATGGTATCATTTTCATATCAACAGTTGTGAATTGTCACAATAGTTTTTGCATAATTAAGTGAAAAACTCAAATAATGTGGATTAATATATACTGTAAAAGCAGTGAAAAACATATGCGATAGCTACTGTATACAGGGAAATTTTCGTCTCCGTTTTATTTTCGCCCCTTTCACCCTAATTACAGGTGGGCAAATTTAAAACAGGGAGAATTCAAAGAACACAGTATAATTTCTTAAACAAAACTATGACTAGGTGAATTTAAAAAGGAGCAAAATTGTTCACAGGTGCGAAAGGGCGAAAATCATATGGGGCGAAAATAACCCTGTATACAGTATGTAAAATGTGTGATAAAAAGAATTTTCCATGGTTTGTGGTGTTATGTAATTTTTATCCAACTCTGGTTTGTGTTTACTAATCCCCTCGCCAAGGCTTGGAGATAGAAACTTGTTGGATAAAAATCATATCACACCATAAAACCATGGGGGATCCTACATTTACATGTATCTTGAAGGTCATTACAGATACAAAGACAGACATGATTAAACTGTTGTTATAATTATCTCTGTGTGTACATCTTGACTTCAGAATAACACATGTGTACATGGTGTAAATGATGTTACTTATTCCCTGCAAAAACTTGCATGCACAATTGATGAAGATAACAGTATCTATCTAAGGAATTGCTTCTTCAAGAGTTTGCTCTATCTGTCTAAGGCTAAATTTTGTGATGCAAAGTATAGAAATGAGAAAGATAACATATTCTCCAGATTTTATTCTTAATGTACATGTACTGATTTTTTTTAGAAGCAAATTGTGAAGCTAATACATTTGATGGTGAAGTTGAACAATTTTCATTTTATTCTCTATATACTCACTGACTTTTGTAGGAGCGAGGTGTGAAGCTAACACATTCGATGGTGAACGCTGTTTATATGGAGCTTTAAACAATGAAATCAGGAATCTTCTTAAGTCTTTCAATATGGTGTCCTCCAAAACACTTCGTCGAGATCTTTATGAGGAATTTTTACGCAGGTCAATTAAATTTAAAAATGTAAATTTCACTTCGAAAGTTTTAAAAAATGCAGTAATTTGATTTTGACTTAGTGTAAGAATGTTTGTGCTTATAGTTTATAGAACAAGTCATCATCTTTAATAAATTCATTCTTGAAATTCACTTAGAATTATTTGTTTTAAACTGTGACAATGACAAGTTTTTAAGGTTTTTCTGATTTCTATGTAATATTTCATATGACCAGTGTCATTTACTATGTAAATGTTTGACCATGCATTTGAAATATTTTTAACTTAAAATTGCTAACTGATATTTTTTACAGACTTTTAGAAATGGGAATGCATGAGGACGTGACATTTCATGTCTACGGAGAAAAAATTCCAGCCCACCGATGCATCCTTAGTGCCCGATGTCCGTATTTCGCGGAGTCATTCCGAACTCGCTGGAAGAATAGGACAGATATCATCATCAAACACAAACTGGTAACAAAACAGATATCATAACAAACATAAACTGGTGACAAGAAAGATATCATTATCAAACACTAACTGGTAACAAAACAGATATCATTATCAAATACAAAGTGGTAATAACACAGATATCATTATCAAACATAAACTGGTAATAAGACAGATATCATTATCAAACACAAACTGGTAATAAGACAGATATCATTATCAAACACAAACTGGTGACGACAGATATCAAATATACTGTTATATATACTGGCATATAAGTAGGTCCGCCCATAAGTGGGTTGTATTTTTTAAGCTTAAATTAGAGGGATTGACCCGCTAAAATACCAATCTTTTTTTAACTCGCATATAAGTCGGAGAAAGACTTTTGGACCAAAGTTTAACTCCCAAAAAACCGACTTAAAGGCGAGTATATATGGTAAACTGGTACCAAGACAGTTATCAAACATAAACTGGAAACAGGACAGATATCATTATCAAATATAAACTGGTTACAGGACAAATATCATTATCAAATATGTATTGAGGCCATTCAGTGTTTGTAGTTGGATTTGGAATTTATTTCACGAGCTGGACAGGATTTTTTTTTTTATATCTTCATGACTGCAGAGAAATAAAGTGAAAATTATCCAGATTGTAAAATATTAAAAGAAAGGTATTTTTAGTGCCCAGTTGGTAAATTTAATTTAATGATTTGATTCAAAGGACATTTTGTAGAGAATAGACTTTGATAACTCAAGTGGCCTTAATTAAAATATCCCTATGTTTGACTTCTATTCAGTACTGGTAAAGTATACATAAACAAACAATCTTAAAATCAGAGTAATTTTCCTGTTTAGATGGAGATTACATTTAATATGTCAATTGAATTATCTGAATTTTCTCTGTTTACATTGATTAGGTGGTTCCGTGGGCATTCAGGTCCCTCCTGCAATACATCTACACAGGTAAATACAACACTAGCCTTATAGATTGGGTGCCTTAACAAACAAGGTTTTTATTGATTTCAAAAAACTGAAGTCTCTCAGAACCTCTCTCTGTGGCTTAGTCATGTGGCCTAATCTCCCAGTCACATGTAACCTGACAGCATTGTGATTTGTTTTTTTAAGTTAAACAACTTTATGAAGTCTCAAGATTGTTGATGAATGTAATGTTTATTTTCTAAACCCCAAAATCTGTGAATACATGTGCCTTAAATGCCAGTGGTTTTCAATTCTTAAATAAATTATTGATTGATTAATTATTATTAGGTCGCTTAGAAACCCATGTTGACAGCGTAGAGGACTGTAAGAGATTGGCTCGCCAGTGTCAGCTGCCTGACCTCATTAAGGAAATAGAGGAAGCATACAAAAAACAGAGCTCTTATGGTGAGGACCAAAGTCTCAGAAATATCTCTCTGTAGCTATCCTGATTTATAGATTTATACTAATTACTTTTCTGGTTATTTTTACAGAAATACAGAAACCAGGGGTGAACATCACCAACATCCTGATTGAGCGATCGGAAGATTCACTTGACCTTCAGTTTGACCTTGGACGACTAGCTGATCTTGCTCTACCTAGGGAGCTGTCTACTTTTGTAAGAATTTGTTGTCAAACCAGTATTAGAATAAAAGATTGAAAGAAATCAAGTGTAACCCTCTCTTATAGGAATTAATATGTGGATATTAAATCAATGTTCATTACACGAGACATATTCTTGTCTCTTTGCTATCTTTCCATTCATTCTGAATACACTCAGATAAAGCTGTATCTGTCATGTGTTTAATATGTTATTTAATGGTAGGTTCAGGGGGAGCTTCCATTTGAACCAGAATATGCCTCCTTTTACCCAGACATCTGTTTCTGTGTGGAGGGACACAAATTTCTCTGTCACAAGGTACGAAGATCATGTCTACTTTTACAATGTCACACAACTAATCCTTATACATTCTTCATTTATATCTTTAAAAAAAATCTGAGATATATATTATATTTTAACTTGAAATGATTATAAATTTTCCCCATTTTTTAAAAATTCAGTAGTAACCGGAACAGAAATTATCAATTATTCTGACAGAATAAAAAAGAGAAGAAGAAAATCATTATTTAACTATTCTTTATTATAAAAAATGTTCCTGCAAATATTATAATTGTTACAAAATTACAAATTAATAAGTCAATTAAAGGTACATCAAAATATCAAACATACATGATAAAATCTGAGAATATCTCCCTTTCGTATGTGTGTTTCTGTTGTAGAAGTGACTATTTTAAGGCACTGATTATCTCCCTTTTGTAGGTGTTTTTCTGCGGTAGAAGTGACTATTTTAAGGCGCTGCTGATCGACCATTTTGGAGAAGGCCAAGTCTCTGATAGTAACGTCCCACAGATGACCCTTAAAGACATTTCCTGTGATATATTTACCCAGATTATGTATTACATCTACCAGGACTCGTGTGAGGTAAATATTTACCCAGATTATATATTACATCTACCAGGACTTGTGTGAGGTAAATATTTACCCAGATTATATATTACATCTACCAGGACTCGTGTGAGGTAAATATTTACCCAGATTATGTATTACATCTATCAGGACTCGTGTGAGGTAAATATTTACCCAGATTATGTATTACATCTATCAGGACTCATGTGAGGTTAATATTTACCCAGATTATGTATTTCATCTATCAGGACTCATGTGAGATAAGTATTTACCCAGATTATGTATTACATCTGCCAGGACTTTTCAGGTAAATGTTTACCCAGATTATGTATTACATCTACCAGGACTCATGTGAGGTAAATATTTACCCAGATTATATATTACATCTACCAGGACTCGTGTGAGGTAAATATTTACCCAGATTATGTATTACATCTACTAGGACTCGTGTGAGGTAAATATTTATCCAGATTATGTATTACATCTATCAGGACTCGTGTGAGGTAAATATTTACACAGATTATGTATTACATCTACTAGGACTCGTGTGAGGTATATATTTATCCAGATTATATATTACATCTACCAGGACTCATGTGAGGTAAATATTTACCCATATTATGTATTACATCTACTAGGACTCGTATGAGGTAAATATTTATTCAGATTATATATTACATCTACCAGGACTCGTGTGAGGTAAATATTTACCCAGATTATGTATTACATCTACTAGGACTCGTATGAGGTAAATATTTATCCAGATTATATATTACATCTACCAGGACTCGTGTGAGGTAAATATTTACCCAGATTATGTATTACATCTACTAGGACTTGTGTGAGGTAAATATTTAACCAGAGTATGTATTACATGTGAGGTAAATATTTAACCAGAGTATGTATTACATGTGAGGTAAATATTTATCCAGATTATGTATTACATCTACTAGGACTCGTGTGAGGTAAATATTTACCCAGATTATGTATTACATCTACTAGGACTCGTGTGAGGTAAATATTTATCCAGATTATGTATTACATCTATCAGGACTCGTGTGAGGTAAATATTTACACAGATTATGTATTACATCTACTAGGACTCGTGTGAGGTATATATTTATCCAGATTATATATTACATCTACCAGGACTCATGTGAGGTAAATATTTACCCATATTATGTATTACATCTACTAGGACTTGTGTGAGGTAAATATTTAACCAGAGTATGTATTACATGTGAGGTAAATATTTAACCAGAGTATGTATTACATGTGAGGTAAATATTTATCCAGATTATGTATTACATCTACTAGGACTCGTGTGAGGTAAATATTTATCCAGATTATGTATTACATCTATCAGGACTCGTGTGAGGTAAATACAGAGAAGCTTACATGTACCAGTTATACTCAATTGTATGTTACAGTCCAGATCACCTAATTCTACAGCTATCAGGTTTACAGTCCAGATCACCTAATTCTACAGCTATCAGGTTTACAGTCCAGATCACCGAATTCTACAGCTATCAGGTTTACAGTCCAGATCACCGAATTCTACAGCTATCAGGTTTACAGTCCAGATCACCGAATTCTACAGCTATCAGGTTTACAGTCCAGATCACCGAATTCTACAGCTATCAGGTTTACAGTCCAGATCACCTAATTCTACAGCTATCAGGTTTACAGTCCAGATCACCTAATTCTACAGCTATCAGGTTTACAGTCCAGATCACCTAATTCTACAGCTATCAGGTTTACAGTCCAGATCACCTAATTCTACAGCTATCAGGTTTACAGTCCAGATCACCTAATTCTACAGCTATCAGGTTTACAGTCAAGATCACCTAATTCTACAGCTGTCAGGTTTACAGTCAAGATCACTTAATTCTACATCTATCAGGTTTACAGTCAAGATCACCTAATTCTATATCTATCAGGTTTCATGTTAGGTACTGGTAAATTCAAAGGAAATTTTGTAAATCAATTTCACATTACGGTTAAGATCGTCTAACCTTACATCTATCTGTATTCATTTTCGTTAAGTACAGGAAAACTTTTCTATACCAATCAATCAATTCATATGTCGTCTATATCTCCTCATGTTAGTAAACTATTGTGCAACTTGTATAAACCAATTGAATTCAATCATGTAATGATCAACATCATCTATTTCTACATTATGTTTCATGTAAAGAGATAAACTAAAGTATTATACAAACCTTTTCCTTACTAGAAAACTAAAATGGACAACAGGAAGAACCGTATAGTTCTAAATGATTTTACCTAAATATAAATCAAAGAATGACCACTGCCTAAAATGATTAAAACTACATATACTTAAGCATTGCATTATAAATTCTGGTGCTCTGCATGTCATAACACGGATGGCTGTGCTGACAAACTGATTAATTAGCATGTTCATTGTTATGAAAATGTGTCTGCACAGCTGTCTGTGTTATGACAATTATGTTGAACAGATCCAAGAAATGAGCCAGCAGGATTAAAGGCATTTGGATTTAATTTAAAGATTATGTAGTTTATATAATGGAAAAGTAAAAAAAAAAAAAGCATAGGAGAACATTACATTGACTTATTCTGTGCTACAAAATCAGGAACCACCTTGTGGACATTAATCCAGACAAATATTACACACCTGGGGACAGAAGAACTAGAGGTAGCCATAGATATAGACAACCTCATGCCACCAAGGAGGTTTATAAGAATTCCTTCTTCCCACGTTCGGTGAGAGATTGGAATCGTTTGCCAGAGACAGTGACAGCAGCAGCTACTATCGAGGAGTTCAGGACGGGACTAGACAGTGTCCCCTGGAACCAGCTGCAACCCTGGTAGATGTGATAAGCCATTGTATATAGTTTTATCTGTTTTTAAAATAAGAAGCCTCATGATTTAACCAAGCCGGAGTTATTATCACTCTTAATAAGAGGTCAACTCCTTACTGGAAGAAGAAGAAAACATTCCAAATATGACTGTTCAATATGGAATGTTTTAGCTATACACCTATAATAAATTTTAGCTATAAACCTATAATAAAGGTGTTATAAAACGTATATTGATGAAAATTGGCATTAGTTTGCTGTGCATGAGTTTGCAAGTGCAATTGTAAAGTCCTTAATTAAAAGCATAGGGAATACTGCATACAATATTCTGACTACAAGATAATCAACAAGAAAACATTGATGTTAATACGTTGCCGTCAATTGTCGCCTGGGAAATAAGTAAAGTAAAATCTTGATCATCAAACTGCTTCGATTTGTGTGATAAAGTCTGACTAATCAGATAAAAATCGAACAAAAATGATACCGTTTTAAACTATGTCATTTCCTCAAGTAACTGTTGGCTGCATAAAATATAAATTAGAATCAGACACATGTATCACCTATCATCAAAAATATATTAATTTTGACTTAATATAAAACACAAACTGTGTAACCTACATTTTTATGTGATAAGTAAAATTTATTGTTCTAAAAAAAGGGACTTGTCGTTTTGTCAATAGTAAATGATAAGCAACTTTGTATATTACAAATGACAAACATATATATTTTTAAAGATGTACTTCATGCAAGTATATATATTGTCACAGTGTATCTCATAATTTATAAAGGAAAAGAACATTCTGATGTAATGTTAACCTTTAATTCTGAATTACTTCTCCCACCTCAATCCCCATACACCAAAACTTAAACTTATATGTATAGAGCAGCCCAGTCCTCTGGGCTGCAATAATACTTGCAGGGTTGGAAATTACTGCCTGCCCGTGACAGTCTGTTTCTCAGACGGGCAGGGACAAAACCTCAGTTGCAAGCCCAATGGTTGTGCTATGTGTAATTTAAACAGCTAGTTCCTGTTTTCTACTACTGTTTTTCGCTATCAAACAGCATATAGCAAGTCTATAGGTATCATTGAGAAGTAGTTAAGTATTGTATTACAAATTTGAATTAAGTTTTATTGATAGATCTAGCACTTCATAATAATGAGCATTTTAATCAGTTCTGGCAAATTTTGAGCAGGGCTGGCAACTTTTTAAGAGTAGCCAGCCCTGTGGCTAGCTGCAATTTCCAGTGAGTTTCCAACCTTGTAATATCATGATCTTGATGCTTTCTTCAGTTCAGAAAATGTGGGACCAGAATTGCAAGTTGTGCCATTATTTTTCAATATGGAAAAAATAATGCATATCATGGAAGACTCCCTCTTGCTAAATGGTGAAAACTTGTGAATATTCCTTTGTTCATTTAAATTAAATTCAACTACTCACATGTAATTCAGATCCTGGATGCATTATAAATAATTATGATTAATTAGGCCTCAGTATCTGTTGGAATGAAATCTTTCTGTACGTAACTTTTACCAAATCTGTGATCATTATAAATATCCAATTTTTAAGGTCTTAGGATTAAAATACACTGTTAAATTAATGTATAAGAATCTTTATTTTTTTTTAGTTGTCTGAGAACACCGTTTATGATGTCCTGTGGTTTGCCGATCTTTATATGTTACCTGGTTTAAAGAGACAGTGTGCAAACTGCATCAGTAAATTTATCAACTCCAGCAATGTTCTACAAATCCTGCGATCCGCCCGACTGTTTAACCAGGCAAGGCTAGAGGACCAGTGTGCCGAATTTATTGCCATTAATCTGGAAAGTGTAAGAATTTTTTCTTTTTGATTTCCGTTTTATCCTGTATGTTTTGCTCTTTAGCTCACCTGAGCCAAAGGCTCAAGTGAGCTTTTCTGATCGAAATTTGTCCGTTGTCTGTCGTCGGCGGTGTCGTCGTTGTTGTCATAAACTTTTCACATTTTCATCCTCTTCTCCAGAACTGCTGGGCCAATTTCAATCAAACTTGGCACAGAGAATCCTTGGGTGAAGGGGATTCAAGTTTGTTCAAATCAAGGGCCATGCCTTCTTCCAAGGCGAGATAATTGGGAATTCATGAAAAATTTATGGCATCTTTCAAAAATCTTCTTCTCAAGAACCACTGTGTTAGAAAATATGAAACTTATGTGGAAGCATCCTCAGGTAGTATAGATTTAAATTTGTTCAAATCATGACCTCCAGGGGTAGGGTGGGGCCACAGTGGGCAATCAAAGTTTAGCATATGAGTATATAAGAAAAATTTCAAAAACTCTTCTCAAAAATGACAAAGCTATGATTGGTCATATTTATTTGGAAGCATCCTCAGGTGGTGTAGATTCAAATTTGATCAAATCATGACCCCCAGTGTAGGGTGGGGCCACAATGGACGATCAAAGTTTTACATAGGAATATATAGGAGAAATCTTAAAAAATCCCCTTTCTCAAGAACAGCAAAACCATGATTGGTCATATTTATATGGAAGCATCATCAGGTAGTGTAGTTTCAAGTTTGATCAAATCATGACCCTCAGGGGTAGGTAGGGGCCACAATGAGAGTTTAAACTTGTAGGAAAAAAATCACAGTTAGTCAAAAAAAAGCATCCTTAGTTAATGAAGATTCAATTTTGTTCAAATCATACCCCTCCCCCTTCCTTTTTAGGGGTAGGTCGGGACCACTTATGCATTTAAGCATTGCAATACTAAACTGATTTTTGCTTTTTTCCTAACCACAGTGCGCAGGTGAGCAATGTGGCCCCTGGGCCTCTTGTTCATGGTTAATCCCGTAAATGGCATTCACATGTGTGTGAATTTAGGTATAAATGAAATCTTATATTCAAGTTTTTTCCAGACCTATAGTGTTAGAAGAGTTAGTTTTTGTTTGTCGTTTAATGTCCCTCTCGAGAATTTTTCACTCATATGAAGATGCCACCACTTGCCAGTGGAGGGCTGCAAATTTATACTTATACTCGGCACTCAGGGCCATTGAAGCAATGAGGGATCTTTTTCGTGCCAACACCTACTGTGACACGGGAACTCGGTTTATATGGTCTCATCCAAAGGACCGGTCTCTACATCCCGCAGTGAATCCTAACCAGGGATGTAAGGATCAGCTCCTTATTTTGCGATTCTAGAGCAGACGCTCTAACCACTGTGCGGGTGACAGAACAGTTAGTAGTGGAAAGGACATGTCTAATATACATTGATAAAGAAGTAAGGTTGTGGGCAGGAAACTACCACTCCTTTTCTAAAAAGATGAAACAAAACAATGGTTAAACAAATCAGTATAGATTTCAACCATGAAGAAGTGAAAATTTTTTATCAAATGTATTTAGATTTTAAAATATTTTTAAAAAAATGCTCAATAATACAGCAGGTAAACAAATATTTCTTTTCTGAAAATGATTCAAAGAGAGAGAACTCAGGACAGGGTTAAATATTATATTGCACTATCTTCTGTGTGATATAACATTGAAGACATCACATAGTTGCACGAAACATCACTAACCATAGCTTTTTTCCTAGTTCATTCACAGGGAAGACTTTGCTCAGCTGGTGAGGGAAGATGCATCAGAAATCAAAGGGAGACAGGAGACAGACTCCATTGGAATAATAGACGACATTCGCTTCCACATCACTAATTTTGTCCAAACCTACAGCGAAATGGAGGAGGCCAACGAACAGTTACGCTTGGTTGACGATCTTCTGGAGGACCTTAATTTGGATGGATAAACACAGTCATGCATGAATGATCAGTTTAAACAGGGATGGATTACACAATAGATCATGAATGATAAGTTTAAACAGAGATGAATTACACAATCACACATGAATGTTTAGTTATAATCTGTATGGATAAACATGCAGTCACACATGAATGCTCAATTTAAAGCTAGATGAATAATCACAGTCATGCTTGAATGCTCAGTCCAGGGGAATTTTGATCACAAGAAAGAAACAATATGGTGCATGAGGGGAATACAATTTACTTATGAATAAAGAATCGAAAAGGGAAAATTAATTATTTGAAATGGATAACTAGTGCTAGCGCTTGAAAATAAACAGACACATATATACAGTCAAACCTTATTATCTCGAAATCAATGGAATTCAGAAAAAATTTCAAGACATCTGAGGATTTGAGATATTGAGGGTTAAATTTTATAAAGAATAAATTCTTGGGACTTCCAAGTCACTTTGACATATCCATGGTATTTGAGATATCGGTTTTCAAGATGCTGAAATTTAACTGTGTATTGCCAGGGTCTCCTCTCATGATGTAAGCACCAGAAAAGTCTGGTTTGTAATTAGGGTAGGGATAATTAATATTATCTGGTCTGGTCTGGTTTGTAATTAGGATACGGATAATTAAGATAATGAATGGTCGGACACTAACACAAACCTATTAGGTTTGAAAGACGGTAGATTTGTTTGTTTAAAGTTTCAGTTAGAGAGAATTTATTTTCTGATTTTCTAGTAATCACAGATCTTACTGTGTTGCAAAATTTTTACTGTGTCGCACACGTAAAATTTGAATCGTTACTGTGTTGGGGAAAATTTTTCCTGTGTCGGGGCCGACACAGTAAATCAGCTCATGGAGAATCCTGTCCTAAATATTCCTATGATCCTTCTAGTCATTCCTTACAGAGCATAAATAACGAATTATAAATAAAAACAATATGTGCTTCAGATTAATACATGTACCATCAATTAGAATACAGAGGCATATAAAATGAAATAATGATAATTTTGTACGGAGATCCTGTGCCAGCGACTGAAGATTTTTACACAGAAAACAAGTTTTCTGTTCTGTCCAGGTTTTCACCTATTCAGGGTGATTCCAAGAGTAACATTATAATTATTTAATTAGACAGAGTTTTCAGGTACACTGTATATTTCAAGAGCAGAGTTATGAACTGCATGCATTGTATAGATAAATAAATCATACCGCTTTTATTATTTATCAAATAAGTACCCAACCTTCTAAGTAAAGTTTTTTTAGGGTTTTTTTTTTTTTGGTTTTTTTCCTTACTGTATAATGTAGTTTTTTTTTCTGTACTGTATAATTTTTTTTTTCGTACTGTATAATTTTTTTTTTTTTTTTTTTTTTTTAGTTTTTTTTGTACTGTATAATGTTACTCAACTATTTATGGTACAGTACTTTGTTACCAGTGGTGTTATTTGGTTAAAGACAGTAGAAGTGTTATCTACATGTATGGTTATTAAAACTGTTATTTTGTTATCCATTTTGTTATATGCCATCTCAATCATTTTAGCTTTAATATTTTAATTTTCAGAATATTTACAAGTGTTGTTTCTGGGATCCTGGATGTGATACAACCAGTGCTATATTATTTATAACTTGTGTGGTTATTTTGCAATTGATTTGTGACTTTTTTTTAAAGTTGTGTTATACTCCATTTCACAAATACATGTATTAAATTCTGGAAAAAAAAAACTTCAGGCATGCCATATTTTTATTTTTAGAAATTCATTTACAGTATGGAATGATTTTGATGATATTTCTTTCTTTCTTCCTGCATAAATATTTTATATTTCAAAAAATCATTCAATATTTTTGATAAAATATTATTTAAATAACTTGGACATAAAATGAAAAAAAGAAGAAAATATTATTTTGATAGACCACATTTCTTATGAGACTTGCATGTTCCTATTATTTTGTATGAAATTTTTGAAGTTTGGCAAATATGCGACACCCTATCTTCTACTTTGTGTGAATTAGCTATTGATAAACCAAAAAGTCAAACACATAAGGCCATCTTTAAAAAAATGTTTGTTTTCCCTCTCCCGACTCAGGGTAAAAAAAATTGGGTCGGTAGGTAGGTGGGAAATTTTTTTTTAAAGAAAATTTTAACATACTTGTTGACAAGATGAGAAAATTCTGGAAAAAAAAAAGAATTTAAAAAAAATTGTTTCCTGCAGGTTAAAAAAATGTTTTGAATTAGGTCATTTTTAGCCAGTCGGTCAGGAAAGGGCAAACAATTTTTTTTTTTAAAGATGGCCTAAGGTTTTGTTTTCATTTAGTTTGTGCTGAGTTATTTAAAGATCTTGTTATTTTATAATACCAGTGTCTACACCTGTTTTAAGGTGAATTAAATTTTTTATGTTATTATCTACAAATTTATAAAGGTATGAATTAGACATCAGGTCTTTGTCTTTCTTGAATTACAATGTGGATACCTCAGATCTGAGCTGAGATTGTCTTATGTATACATGTAGAGAATTAATATTATTTATATCCCTTGTTAGCTGTAGAAAGACTTGTCAGTATAATATTGACCACAAGTAACACTTAAAAACTATATACAGTGAAACACACTTATAGCAAACACACTTACAGCCAAGTGATTTTCATTCCCTGCATGTGGCTTTAAAATATATTGTAAACTTAATGGGTACAACGATTGAATTACGTTTATAACGAAACAAAATTGTCCGCCCCTGGCACTTCGTTATAAGCGTGTTTTACTGTATATGTGGTAGGTGATTTCTCTCAATCTAGTAATATAGGTAATCTTTAAAAAATAAGAGGGAAGAGCTCAAGGTATACATTAATTGAACAAGTTTACAAAATGGCACCACTGTTAGACTTTATCTAGTAGTCAGTAGCTTTAACTGTATCTCCATGTATTCCTATGAAAAATTTTGATCGCCTATAGTGGCCCCACCCTACCCTCCGCATCCTCGCAATACCATGGGGTCCTGAGTCAACACGTTGCTGTTGTGGACCCCTGGCATATTTCATTTGATATTTTATAGCTTGCTTCTCTCATTGAGAAGCACCAATCAAATTTTAAAAAGCTTTCATAAATAGTTAGATAAGGATTCAGTTGACACCTCAAATGCACGTTGTTTTTCATAGAATAGCTTAATGTGTTTGGTTGAGAGATAAGAAAAACAATCAGGATTTGTAATTTTCCCACGCCCACGAACTATTGAATGAAATTTGCCAGGGGTCCAACGGCAACTTGTTGACTCAGGACCCCTGGCATTGCGAGGATGACCCTCCCGGGTCATTAATAGAACAAAATTGAATCTACACTACCTGAGGATGCTTCCATATAAATACTGTTAATCAAGACATTGTTGTTATTGAAAAGAAGAATTTAAAAAGATTTTTCCGAAGTATCATAACTGACCTATCTAAATTTTTATTGCCCATTATGGCCCCACACTACCCCCAGGGGGTAATGAATTGGACACTAGTAACCTGAGGATGCTTAGATATAAATATGACTATAATCATGACTTAAATTTGCTGTCCTTGAAAAGAAAAAAAATGTAAAGATTTTTCCTATTTATACCCCTGTTAAACTTTGATTGCCGTCACGATTTGAACAAGCTTGAATCTACATTACCCGGGAATACTTCCATATCAATATGACTAATCATGACCTTATTGTTATTGAGAAGAATTCTAAAGATTTTCCCTAAGTATTCCTATGTAAAATTATCATCACTCATAGTGGCCCCTCCCTACTGCCAGGGGTCATAATTTGGACAAACTTGAATCTACACTACTTGAGGACGCTTCCATATAAATATGACTTATCCTGACCTTTCTGTTAATGAGAAGAACAAGTATAAAGATTTTGTCCTTTGTATTCCTATGAAAAACTTTGATTGTCCATTGTGGCCCCACCCTATTCCCAGGGGTCATGATTTGAACAGATTTGAATCTACACTACGTCAGGAAGCTTTGACGTAAGTTTCATTTTATCTGGCCCAGTGGTTCTTGAGTAGACGATTTTTAAATAACCCCACCCCTTTTTCACTATTTTCTTAACTATCTCCCATTGGAAGAAAATGTGGTCCTTCAAATGAGCAAACTTAAATCCTTTTTTTTTTACCCTATAGCATACTCTATGCGAAATTTGGTAGAAATTGGCTCATTGGTTCTTGAGAAGAAGGTGAAACTGTGAAAAGTTTACAACAAGGACGAAAACGACAGACAACAGACAAATTTTAATCAGTCACTTGAGCCTTTGGCTCAGGGTGTATTTTGGACTCTGTAGAGATCTCATATCGTGTAAAGATGTTAATATATGGAGTTTATCGATTTCATTTTCGACAGTGTCCCAGCCATATATGTCCCCAAGAAAAATGTTCAAAGTTTATATATATAAACTTTGAACATTTTTCTTGGGGATATATATATGAACATATGGAATGGAATATGTTTATTCACCAATCAAGGGCCCTCAGGGGGCATATACAATTATTTCAGAATGATTACATAGAAATAATATTATAGTATATTGTAATATGAAAGAATATAAATCATATCTATCATGAGGGTACAAATGAAAGATGTACAATACCACGAGTAGGATACTCATGAAAATGCAAGATTTGCAACATAATCACAGTAGTCAGAAACATATGTTTTATTAAAGTGCTCAATTGATTCATCTAGGCCAAACGAAATGTTTAGATGTATTGCGGTATGAATTTGTCCGTCTAAGACTAATTCTGGACCAACCGTGAGTTTTCCTCTTATTTTTGAACCCAGATTCATAAAACCTCAAACACAAACACGAGTTACAATTTTGTTGGTAGTTTTATATGAGTTTGGGATGTATCAGCACCGAAGATCTGGTTCCAACTGACTATATTTTTAACAACAAAACATACATATACTCAACATCATGAACAAAGACAAAGTAAAATAAAAGGATTAACAAAAAGTATAAAGAAATCAAGTATCAAACAATTATTGAGGAAATGATGACATTTTAGCGGCATGTAATAAAATAAAAGAAGATGAAAGATTAAGTGTCAATAAATATAAACAATGACAATGAATTTATTCTCATAAACTGACATTAAGTACAGTGTAGAGACAGATTACAAATATAGTTAAACATATGTTAAACAGATGTGCATGCGTGAAACAGAAAAAGTACAAAGTCAAAAAGCTAACAATGACCTAACGATAAATATAAACAGAAGTCAATTAAGGGATTACGTGTCCATCTCTAACTATGCCTCATGTAGGATAAAGGATATGTGGAATTTATAGAATTTATCACATTTGCCGAAATATACGAAAAGTTTATATAACAATTTATACAAAATCCGAATAGTTAATTAACACAATAATATATAATAAATCCGAAAAGTCGTATTTAACACCGTAACAGATTGCTTGATCAAATAGAATGATAAACTTAATTAAGATTAAAAAACAAACACACAAAAGCAAGCAAACAAACAAAGAAAACCCAAAACAAAAAAAAAACAAAAACAAACAAACAAAACAAAATCAAAAGAAAAAACCAAACAAACAAACAAAAAAAAAAAAAAAAAAAAAAAAAAAAAACCAACAACAAAAACAACAAAAACATATCATATCGGATAAAACTTAATTACAAGAGATATTTTCTGAATTGCTTCCAGGTTCGAAAATCAGTGACAAACGGTAGACATTATCAAATTCTGCAATGTCCTCTACCGTGTTTGCATCATTAAAGTTCGTCAAAATTTTGAATCGATTAAAGATAGGGAATAATTAAATTAGTTATCAAGTTTTGAAAAGAAAGTTTTGAATAAGGAAAAATGGTAATTAAAAAAATCAAAATCGGATAATATTTTAAAAAAAAAAAAGAAGAATTTTCAATTCAAGATTATTGATAAAATGTATCAAACCCTTCAGTCTTTTTAAACTTTTTATATTCAATATATTTCTTTTTTTTTTTTTAATTTATTTACTCCATAGTAAGATTAACTAGCTATACATCAGCTTTGATCCAATTAGATGTATGAGAACCAACACCCCCCCCCCTTCTTTTCTTCGAAAACAAGGAAAACGTTACATGGAAAATGTGTAAAAATGGAATAAGAAATAAGCAAACCGCTGCAACATTTTCCCCATACTAACACAACCAAAGAAATCTATTTTAAATATCGTTAAAACTAGTAAACTCGTAAAACCATATCTATCGGGCCCGTAGGAAGCAATTTCAGTTTGGGGGGTACAGCCATACATTTTTCAGTTGACAGTTGAGGGGGCACTACCAAAAAATTTCCTGCTGGCAAAAAAAAAAAAAAAAAAAAAAAAAGGTCATCAGCCGTTTTTATTGAGGGGCACAAGCATATATATATTTTCTATGTTTACTATAGTAATCTATATATCGGCAAAATTATTGGGGGGGGCGGTCCCCCGTGCCCCCCCCCCGGTTCCTACGGCCATGCTATGAAACAAGCGCCTGTGGCGAAAAAAAAAAAAAACGCCAGGGGCGGGAGGGGGGTTAGGAGGATAGGAAAACTAAGCATAAACATGTATAATGTTTTTTTCTCTATATATTTTGTTAATCAATTTTTATTTATTTATTTCAGTCGCTTGTTGTTTCAAATGGTATTTCTTCTTTGAATTCATATTCTCACCTCAGTTATACTTTGAATCGACCTGATTTATTAACATTCCCCATTCCCTCCCCCCTTGGTGTGTTTTCGTCTGGCACGCGGTGCGTGTTTTTTTAATTTTTAAATGCCCCTTAGATGGCCCCGATGAAACAGTCCGATGTATAAGTGATAAATTTTATATTAGTTTTTTCGCTATAAAGATATAGATCTAGCACTATTGTATTTTAATATCATTCATTTTTTTAGCGAAAATGAGCCCATCGTAAAATAGACGTGTATTTGAAGGGTTCATTTCGAGAATGAACATGACTTTAAATTTATCGATTACATGCGACTCAACAGGTGAGATAAGATTCAAGATGGCGTCATGTGTTCAAACAAAACATTTTTCTCAGGTAATTATGTCCGGGTTCGTAGTTATTATGGAGGTTTCACCCGTAATTGTAAATTGTTATTTAGATTAACACAATTCCTTTTGATAGTACATGCCTACAATAGTACCTGTGTTACGAAATGAACTGTAATATGGTGTAAATTTCTCTCTTTGAAACCTCTGTTTACTATTTACGTTTATTTAAAAAGTCATATTAGGAATTCCCCAGATTTCTATGTGCGCGTAATTAAAGCAGTGGAGGTATTTCAGGATTTATATATTTTTTTATATAAAATATTTAATATGGACTCTATGTATGGCATATGAAATACCTTATTGAGTATTTTTAACACCGTTTGATAACGTTAAGACAGGAAGTAGTGTCAACATAAATTTGGATTTCAAAGACAATGTGTTCTCCCGAGATTTGTGGTTATAGGTATGATTTTTATGAAATGAGTTGTGTGTTCTCTATCCCTGATCCTTGGCAAGCAGATAGAGAACATACAAGTTCGATAAAAATCATATCCAACCTCAAAAACCATACATTCGTTTTATCACACGTTTTACTCATATCTATCATCTTTTTTATATATGAATTCACTATTAAACTTCATCTCTCTCACGCAAAAAAAAAACAAAAAAAACCCCAAAAAATAATTGATCTACGTCCGATATCCACAGTATGAAGGAGTAAACATGCAGGTAAAATTGGAAACTAATACTCGACCTTCTGACAGATGTAAAGCCAATCTATATAATATTTTTCTAGTGAAGACCAATTCCAAATTTTACCAATCTGATAAGTTATTGATAATTAACACCAGAAAACCAAACTGTGACGTACGTCGATATCCCTTTGTATATAAGCTTATTTTCCCAATTTAAATGGCCGACGCCGGCCCTTGTACCAATTCAATTCAATTTATTCACTCAAAAACCATGTAAATGGTACATGAGGTACATAAACATATGAAACATATATACATATAATACAGTGGGTCAAGCAAAAGGTGAGATTAATTCAGCTAGCTAGGGAGAACAGACCACACTATTAATCTTAGTAATAAAGGTACATAATTTTTTCAAAGAATCAACATCATTTTGGCACAAAACTTCACAGTGTTTGGCTTAGAACAAAATTTTTGGTTAAAAAAAATTTTTCTCTGTTGGTTTAAAGCGCTACATTCTAAAATATGATGATATTCATCTCCTATCTGATTACTATCACATAAGCTTAAAAATCTTTCATTTCTTTGAGTACCATTCCATCTACCTGTTTCAATTGGAAGGTGGTGGTTTGTGGTTCTAAATTTAACTAAAGTTTTCCTAACTATACATGATAACAGTGTTAAATATTTTTCGCACTCAAAATTGGTTTTAAAAATTCTATAATTTAAACTTTTTGAGGATTCTTGAACTTCACTATTCCACTTTTGAATATATATACTGATCTTTTAATCTTTGTTTGACTGTAGCAGTTATCCTTTCTACATTATAGAAATATTGCTCATACCATATATTTGATAAACCACATCTGTCAAAAATATTTTGTACAAATGAAATCCAGGAGTTTGTCATTTCTCCTTTATAATATTGTTTACATAAATACATATATACAATTCTACACAATTTCTTTTCTTTTCCATACACAAGTTTTGCCCATGCAGGTACCAAAAATGGAGTGCGAGCAGTCACTCAGCCCAGCTTGTGTTCTTGAAAAATGCTCTGCATGGTTAAATTGATAACAGCTACTCCATCTACACAAAACAGAACCCATTTTATGTCACTTAGGTCACCACAGAGAAAATTCTAAAGATGCAGATTAAAATTCTGAGCAAGTTATTCACTCGAGTAACCGTCAACATCTGAATTCTGTAATTTTTAAAATCCTATGCAATGTTTCAGTACATTGCCTTAAATTTTTAGTGTGGACTTTTTCCCTGGTATTTATTATAACAGTTATTAATGTGAATTTTCAGGATACTTTGTAATTTTTAAAATAGGAAAGATTGGTATAATCAAATTTAATTATAAAGATCAGCTAAAGAAGCACGCAGAAAGTGTTACTTTAATCTCAGCAGATGAAAATTATCAGAATAGAGGAAAGCAAGTAACATGAATAAGAATGTTGTACATATAAATTAATTGAATAGTCACTTAAAAATTCATTGAATAGTCTACTTATAAATTCATTGAATAGTCTACTTATAAATTAATTGAATATTCTAGCTATTTATAAATTAATTGAATAGTCTACTTATAAATTCATTGAATGGTCTATACAGTTACTTATAAATTAATTAAATATTCTATTTATAAATTAATTGAATAGTCTGCTAAATTCATTGAATTGTTTACTCATGATGTTTATAATGGAATAGTGTACTTATAAATTAACTGAATAGAACTTTTCTTCTCTTTTTGTGTATTTTACTCTAACTTATTAGTCAGACCCTATCATGCAACTTTTATTTTTTTTTTTAACCTTAAAGGCAGTATATATGTGTATATATAATTGCGTCCTTCACAAGTGTATTAATCATCATTTATTATACCTACTGTTGCTCTTATTGGGTTCAATTTACCATAAATTAAAACCCTTTAGCATTCATTTTGAGGCATGAACACATGATGAACAATTATGTACCATTTATATACTACGTACCTGAGTGAATTTGCTTTTTTTAAAGCTTAAAATTGGTCATTTGGACTGACATTATAAAGTAGGTGGAAATAAACTTTCAATTTCACAGATTTAGAAAAACTGAATTTAAAAAACTAATTAAAAAAATTCTCAACAATCTTCCTTAAACACATGTTAAAGAAAGTTCCACCAGCAAAAAATGTAATGAATAGAAACATAATGATTTCTTGAAATAATATGGACATTCTCCAGTTCACACTTATTTCCTTTAACTATAAGTGTTGCTATATGTACCTTTTACTCCCCCCCCCCCTTTCCTAATATAGGAAAGTTCTAGTATTGCAGTAACTACAGATCACAGGCCTATTAAGATGACGGTTTTACTATAAACATGAAGAAGTCTCAGAAATCTCAATGTTTCAGCAACTTAATGCCCAATTGTTACTGAAGCTTTGATCATGCAGGCTATCACACTGTGAGAGAATATCATTTTGGTATCCTTTCACACTTTGAGAGAATATCACTTTTATTCAATAAATAAATCACAGTATTTTACTGTTAAAAATGTAATAAATATATAAAACCATCTTCTTTTATCATTTATCAGTTTACTTCAAAAACGCTTAACCTGTTTGGGAAAAAATATATATAATTGACATGAAGTTAATATGTATATTTATTAATTCAACTATTAATCATGTTAATCTCAATGCATTCATTTTTGTGACTGAAAACTGAATAACTTTGAGTCATCCAGGTTTTAATTTTAATTTACACTTGTACGTGTGATTACACTTTATCTAACACTTTTAGCTCACCTGAGCCGAAATGGCGAAGTATTTTCTGATCAAAATTTGTAAGTTGTCTGTCATCTTAAACTTTTCACATTTTTTACTTCTTCTCCAGAACCACCGGGCTAATTTCAACAAAACTAGCCACGAAACATCTTTGGTTGGAGGAGATTCAATTTTGTTCAAATGAAAGGACAGGCCTTCTTTCAAGGGGAGATAATAAGAATTAGTGAAAATGTACATATTATGGCACAGTTACTTCAAAAATCTTCTTCTCAAAAACCACTGGGCCAGAAAAGTTGCAACTTATGTATGTGAAAGCTTTATTACATAGCGTAAGTTCCAATTTGTTCAAATCACGACCCTGAGGTAAAGATAAGGCCACAACAGAGGATCAAAGTTTTACTTGGGAATACTGTAGATCACCAAATATTTTCGTGAGATAGACATTTACTCTTTATCACTAAGACCGATTTTTTACAAATTGTGGTTAATGCTCTATTAAATCGTTCAGAATACTAATATATGTGAGAATAATATTTTCCCAAGCACACTCTCTCGCATAATTATGCGAAAATAAAGTTCTTGTGAATAAAAAGTGATTTACAATATATAGGAAATATCACAACAAATCATCTTCTGATGACAAATCCATGATTAGTCAATAAAAAAAGAGGCATCCTCAGGTAGTGTTGACTCAATTAAGTTTGTTCAAATTATGACCCCTTAGGGTAGGGTGGGGTCACATTAGGCAATCAGAGTTTACATGAAAATTTATAGGAAAATTGGTTAAAATCTTCTCAAGAACAGCAGAGCCGTGATTAGTCATATAATTACGGAAGCAAGTTTGTTCAACATGTTCAAATCATCACCCCCTGGGCTTAGAATAGGATGGGACCATTTATATATTTAAACTTTTCAGTATTGAACTGATTTCTGTTTTTCTCTCTCCAAAGTGCTCAGGTGAGGGATGTGGCACATGGGCCTCTTGTTTCTAGTGCTGTCATTGATGAAACATTTCATATCTTTATCTTGATGAAGAATTACAAAAAAGTACCATGTCTTGATATGTCAATAAACAGTTGATTTTTTTTTTTTTTTTTTTTACAAAACAGGGAAATAACACTGAAAGTCCTGTGATGTTTAATAATTTATTTGGATGTTGTTTTCATTTAAACCTATTGAAAATGTTTATTTATTTTCAGGTGTTAAGAATGACCTACTGACCTAGTAACAATGCTTCAGAGAACAAGATGGTAGCCCTGATTGTGACCTGCCTTCTGCTGCTATGGCAACCAGACTTCTCCTCTCAACAGAGGACCAGGAATTGTAAGTGTTGTTTGTTAACAGCTGGATTTATCAGACTAAATACATTTCACTTCCCTTTCTAGTTAATTTCTTATACCCCCCCAAAAAATGCTAAAGATAAAAGATAATGATTTGTCACATTAATATCTGGTAATGTATAGTAAGTGGAGATAACTATGCTGTTTTCCTACACAGTACACATAAATGATCCCATTAAAAATTTAAAAAAAAAAAAAGAAGAGTTGTCAAAACCTGTCATTCCTGTCGGCAAGGTAAGAAATTGTCTGGACCGATAACTTAATATGGAAAAGGTTGATCTAAATGCCCCTTGAAAAAATTGGGAATAATACATTTAATGTTTAGAAGATTGGGGTCGGGATGCGCAAGTGAATGTCACAAAAACAACAGAGATGTCCACATGGTAACGTTGGTCGATTGACTTTTGTTAAGGGGAAGAAGGACCTTGAGGTGAAAAAATACCTGTCATTCAATTTTTTTCATATTTTGTATATTTCTTATTAAGTATGTCCCACACATCTTAAAGCAGTTATATCATTAGGTTTCTAACCTTATTTTAGAGATATTGATTGACAAATACTATGCCCTACAGTATCTAAATAGAGTTTTAGTTTTCCATGTTTACGGGCCCATTACTCTGTCCATAATGGGATTTTTTAAGCAAAGATAAAAAATATGTAAGTGGATATGTATCTTTTAAAATATTTCATAGTATGAATAGGGTTTAAAATTCGAAAAAGCAAGTTTCTTCCATCACATTGCATCTAGATAGCGAAAATTACGTACTTTTTAAGAAAACTTTAACAACAAAAAACGTAATTTACCAAAAATTCTATCATTCAATATTTTTAAATTTACGTTGAAATGTAAGTCCTTCAAATTACTGATTAACTGTAAAAATTTCGAATGGTGAAGCTGACCTCAATATTGCACAGGACATCGTTAAAGAGGACATAAGCATGACAAAAACGTGTCATGTTTACATTTCTCGAGTACGGGAAAAACCAACTATGACGTCACATGTAGCTAAATAAGCGAAAGAAGATATACCTACATAAGATTTCCGTCATCAGCCATGCAAAAATAATTTTTGTATTCCCCGTGTCTCAGAATATTTTATCATGTAATGATTAAGACCTGTTTTCACAAAGTAATACCGCCCCTGTATTCACTGAGTATGATCTGGCTGTACTAACAGATTGTGTATGACGTCACCGACTTGTTGGACGCGCAGTTTAGGGAAACAGAGGAGTGGATCAATCTTTTTCATAATTTGTTAATGTTTACAAGAATTTTAAAACTTTTTATTATTTTAATATAAGATGGTTATCAAAGTTCAAAAAAATGTTAAAAAATTATACAAGAATTGATGCTTTACACGTTTTGCACTTATATAAACGGAGACTATGACGTAGTTAAACAGAGTCATGTGACCATGTGTCCTTCATCTCTTATCAATAGACCCTCTATCCTTAGAAAAGAAAATTGTGAGATAGAATGTTTTTGAAAATAATAAATTGCATTTTGGTGTATTTATTTACTTTTCTTTCTGTACAAATAATTAAGGTACATGTATCTGGTCTGACAGAACTTCATGTGGTCTGACAGAATCTTAACTTTTTCAGCCCAAATGTCTGACAGTGATCCAAAAATTTTGACACCTCTGAAAAAAATGAGATTATCCACAGTTTGTATTATCAAGCGAATAATCAAAGTTACTAGGATTATAAACATGATAAATATGTTGTGGTTAATTCACCAATTCTCCATCAATCAAGCCGGGCCATCCATCTTTGATAATGACTGGGAGATATGTAGGTCAATGATGATTGTGTTTTATTTTGTTTCTTTAGAATATGTTAAATGTTCATGATGATCATTACAAGATCACAAGTAACAGCTTTTCAAAAAGCTTGCCTGACTAAGCAATTCATATTTAAAAGAACATATAAGTATGATCCATCCATTTTGTTTGTTTGTTTTTTTTTTTTGGAGGAGGGCGTAATACATGTATTTCATAATCTTACATATTGAAGACTATACAAAACATCATGATTTTTTTATCCTAAACTTTTTTGCTACTCATCAGAAGAATGGAAATTTATTGAAGTAAGGAAGGAAAACAAATTAATTAATGTGATTGATTGAAGCTAGGATTGTTCTGAGCTTATTTTTTGATTCATTGATTTGTTTGGTACTGGTAGTTGTGTTCTATTTCACTTTTCCTTGAACTCCCCCCCCCCCTCCCTCCCACACACACACACACACACACACACATACACACACCCTCACACACACACATACATATATATGCAGTAATCATCAGTCTGTCTTAAAGTGAGGTGTTTATAATGAGTTAGATGCCTGTGTTTTTAGACCAGCTGGAGGACAGTTGTTTTGTGGATCCAGTGACCATTAGTTTGGATGAAACGGTCATCATTAAGGGTGGAGGGACGGTCAGTCCGAAGCCCATCGGGATCCAGTGTAAGATCACGGTACGGACCGAGAGCAAGTATGAGCTTCAGGCCCGAGTCCAGTTCTTCAGCTGTCGGGAAACCTCCGTCATCCTCTCGCTGTATGCCAACACAAACGTAAGATTCCATTTCTTACAAAACTTTATCATTTTTCTATCTTTAATGTCACCATTCCAGCCAAGACATTTCTGGGAGGTACAGCCTTGTGTCAAGAGTATATGCAAAAAATGGGGGCTTATTTTGCCAAGTTTTGATATTAAAAAAAAAATCCTTGTTCAGTTCGAGTAAATTAACACTTGTGTACTCTTTCAGAACATTTATAATTGTGACAACTACCCCCGCTCTCCACTGACCTTGACATTCACTGGTACACAGGTGATTGTGGATCTGAAGAAGGGTGACCCTACAGCCATGCAGTACTCCTTTGATATCAGCATCACCCCAAGACAAAGTAAGTGTGATATCTGTACATCACTTCAAGACAAAGTAAGTGTGATATCTATACATCGCTCCAAGACAAAGTAAGTGTGATATCATCACTCCAGGACAAAGTAAGTGTGATATGTGTACATCACCCCAAGACAAAGTAAGTGTGATATCTATACATCACCCAAAGACAAAGTAAGTATGATATCTATACATCACTCCAAGACAAAGTAAGTGTGATATCTATACATCACTCCAAGACAAAGCAAGTGTGATATCTATACATCACTCCAAAGCAAAGTAAATGTGATATGTATACATCACCCCAAGACAAAGTAAGTGTGATATCTATACATCACCCCAAGACAAAGTAAGTATGATATCTGTACATCACTCCAAGACAAAGTAAGTGTGCTATCTATACATCACTCCAAGACAAAGTAAGTGTGATATCTTTACATCACTCCAAGACAAAGTAAGTGTGATATCTATACATCACCCCAAGACAAAGTAAGTGTGATATCTATACATCACTCCAAGACATAGTAAGTGTGATATCTATACATCACTCCAAGACAAAGTAAGTGTGATATCTATAAATCACTCCAAGACAAAGTAAGTATGATATCTATACATCACTCCAAGACAAAGGAAGTATGGTATCTATACATCACTCCAAGACAAAGTAAGTGTGATATCTATACATCGCTCCAACCAGTAGTTGTGACAGTGTGTCGTTCATTTTTTCAGAACCGTTTTCACCCGATACCACTGAGTCCCAGCCAGTGGCAGCAGGTCTGATTGTCGGTATCGTCTGCGGAATTTTCTTCTTTCTTGTTGTGGGAGCCATTATAATAGCGTGCTGCTACAGACGAGCTCAGAAACTAAAACGCCTGGCCATGTACAACAGCTCCAATGCCAAAGTACCGCTGGAGGATGCAGCTGGACCAATGGGAGTATCAAATAACTATGAGTCCTCACCCCGAGCCATGACAAGATTACTCACAAAGGAGAGGGCAGTTTCAGTGGATGAAAGTGTGGAAAATGGTGGAGTGAGGCGACCACAGACCCTTGATTTAAAATCTCGGAGTCAGACAGCAAAGAGTGACCGTACTGAATCTAGTACAGCAAGCAGACCGAGTAATAACGACGCATACGAACACGAGGAAGAGGATCCGTACGATGTAATGGATGGAGATCCCAAGCCGCCAAAATCTCCTTTCCTTGGTGCTTTACAGAGTAATGCGAAATTCCAGAAATCAAGACAAGAGAATGAGAGAGATGCAGAGGACCGAAGGAATCGATTGTCAGGGTCATCCTTTGGAAACCAGACACCTGGGTCAAACTCCTCAGTAGATAGTCGAGATAAAGGGTCGGCCAGTGAGAGTCGAGGGAAGCCTCTCCCAGCAGTGCCTGACAATAAACAATTAACTCTCGCAGAAAAGCGCAAGAAGATGGAGAGTTTTCGAAGAGCAACAAGACCGGATTCTTTCACATCGGATGAATTGGATGGAAGTGGAGAAGACACAGATAATTTGAACAAAAGTCGCGGGGCCAGTGGAAGTGACAGTCAGTCTTCTCGTGAGGTAGCTCCAGCTAAAGGCAAGCCAAACACACAACACACACTGCGTCCTAATAGGGGCCGGGAGAAAACAAAAAACACTAAAAACAAAAAGGAAAAGCCTCTGAAAGAGCGAGACCCAGACAAGATCCCAGACAGTCCTAAATCCACACGCAGTGCCGGGCAGTTTCAGAAACTGGAGGATGGACTGAGATCAAGCAAACGATCAAACAAATCTCCAAAACCAGCGGCCAAAGGCTTTGGACATCGGAGAAATCGGAGCACAGATTCCCGTCCCATGACCCCCACTAGCATGATGAGGGATGATGATGAGGAGTCTGTCCGTCGTAAGTCTACTCTCTTATTTTTAATTTGTACATATTCCGTGACAGACAGTACAAGTGTTGTATTTGATAAAAATTATATGAATTTTTGGAAGCATCAGGTACATGTATTTTTTATTGGGAACTGGTCAGTTGTTTTAGTTTACACTGTGTGAGAATACTCTGTTTAAATATAAAGATTTTGTTATCTTCATCCACATTCATTTACCTAAAGCAAAAACTTATTACTGAGTGAAGATATTGATAGTACAGTTAAACTTCGTTATCTCGAAGTTGACGGGACCGTCGATGAACTTCGAGATATCCGGGGGTTTCGACATATTGAGGGTTATACAGGGCTCGACATTAACGCTTGTCCGCTTGTCCGGTACCAGTGAAAAAAAAATACGGACAAGTGAATATTGCTGGGCACTTGTCCGATTGGACAAGTGCATTTTTATGTAAATAAGTCTCTAAATATTTAGAAGAATGACTGTTGAAAGTTTACAGGTACTCTAAGACGGAAACAGTACATAAAAACCGAACTTCGATCCCGATATAGATTGCTATGTAATTGAGTACACTCGATTGGGATCGAAGTTCACTAATTGCATACTACTACAAAGGCATGGAACTGACGAAGTTTGGATTTTGTTTTATGTTGCCAGGACAGAAAGTATAGATAAAATTTTGTTTTATTATTTGTTGTATTTATAAATAACATCATGCACATGTAATGGACTTTATTTTTAGTTTTTCAGTTAACAGCATTAGATCTTCATTGAAAATTTTTCGGACAAGTGAAGTTGAAGTTCGGACAAGTAAATGTCTTGGTCACTTGTCCGAATGGACAAGTAGGAAAAAAAGTTAATGTCGAGCCCTGTTATAATTCAAATGAACTTCAAATAAACTTAGTGCAGTGAACATGTACTTAATAGTAAAAACATGTCTAATTCCATCTTGTTTGAAATTCTGTATACGATTTCTTTAATATAAATGTACATGTATTTAGCAATAAAAAGTATTTTCCATCCTCTTTATAATTCACAAAATTTAAAACATTGTATAATATGCACAGAAGTATAATCCTTCTACCAACGCGGCAAGTCAACTGCTAGCATCGTTTCCCATGTTTACATAACCAGATATCATCTGTGCATTGTAAATTTAAAACCGGTCGCTGTCAGAATAACGAAAACGAAATATACATTTTCTTTTATTGGAAAAACATGTTCATACATGTATAATCAGTTAAAAGAAAATTATTTTACCATAATAAAATCAAATGCAAAAGAAGAATCACGCACTTTTGTCTAACAACAGAACAACACGGAATCACAGGGCACTACAGAACAAGTTTTTCACTGCGACACACGCTCACATGATGGTGTTTACGGACGATTGTAAATTCTGCTCGCTCATATAGGAAAAATAAATTCTAATTGCATTAAATTACAGATTTTTTTTTCACTTCGATGTTTATATTTATCATCTTCCAATGCATAAACTATGTATGCCTGCATATTTCACGTAGCATTAATTAAATAGCGATTATCAAGATATTAAATGTACCCAAGCCACAAAACATCTCATCCACGCTTATGCATTAGACTAATACACACAACCTTTGGCTTGCATAATTAAAATCAAGGTAAGCCATACATACACTTTGTATAATTATTGCCCTATTATCTGTTGATCACAGGAACACAGGTAACCCGAGCGTAACAGACAGGTGGGTGTTATCAATAGAGCATTCAGTTTACCTAACGGACTTGATCATCAGAGCGGAAAATTATCCTGACTTCGAGATAACGCATGTGATTTAATGAATGGGTACACATTTTATTTCGAGATAACCGGGGTATTCGACATTACTGTGTTTGACATAGAGGGGTTTATTTTAATCATTTATAAAGCAAATTTTGTCGGGACTGCGGCCTTACTTCGACATATCCGGGGTATTCGAGATATCCGTGTTCGAGATTTCGAAGTTTAGCTGTAATTAGTTCTAAGAGAGAAAACTGAGACTTTAAATCAGATTGAGGTCATACTCAAACAAATTTTTTGAGTCTTCTTCAGAGATGTGATAGAAAATGTTTTATTGAAAATATGGTTTATTTATTTACCCAGTTCAGTATCTTTTTCAATTTTATTTTCTTTTTTTTTTAAACATGTCAAATTTCTTCATTCATAAGTTAAAGTAGGTCAAAATAATTTAATGTTAAATATTTAGAACTAAACAGTTTTCCTTTAAAAATACCTCACTCAAGTCTACCTCCTAATATTGCTTTAATGTTTTTTAGCTCTTCAGAGAACCACATCACGTCAATCCCTGTATGCCTCCCGTTCATCTCTCTACAGTCGCAGGCGACGGAAAGGATCATTCTCAGAGTCTGTTGTTTCTGGCTCAACCTTTGCTCATGATGACATTGACTATTACCGCAGACCTAGAGGTCAGAGGTCACGTGGTCGTTCACCCGTGGATTATGATGATGACTCTGATGGCTATGTGCAGCCAATATCTCGTCATGAAAATGACAGAATGTTTAAATCACTGGGAGATTTGAATTCTAATGGAAGACGCAGTGAAAAAGCAACACGAGCAACACAAACATTGAGGGAAACAGCAACACAGACTGGAGATGACCAATCGGTTGTTGTGCATTCAAAGAGGGTGGTACAGAGAAAACGTCGCTCAAAAAGTCTGTCCGCAACAGGAACACAAACTACAAATAAAAAACACAGGAGTCGCAGTAAGTCTAGAGGTGATGAGTCAGACACGGGTGATGAACTTAAAAATGAAAAACGTGAAAAATCAAAGAGTCGAGAATCGCTTAAAGAAAGTTCAGAAAAACCAAATCCAAAACCGAAACCAAAGCCTCGGAAATCCCAATCGGCAGGAGTATCTGAGACAGAGGCTCCTGTCAAAGCACAAAGGAAGAAGTCCAGGTCTCAAAAAGAGGCTCTTGCTGCAGAGGAAACAGTCGAGGCTCCACAAGAACTGGCTGCAGCACCGCCAGGAGTGGTGGTTTATCCCATGGGACCACAGGGGCAGCCATATGTGGTACCTTATGGGCTCCCACCAGGTTACACCACCTTACCTCTGCAGCAGCCACCACCCGGTGCAGTACCTACCCAGCCTCCTCCCTACTTTGTTAATGGTCAGGGATCCTTGACTGTGGCACCACCTCAGCCCATTGACAACACTGTCAGACAGTTACCACCACAAACAGTGTCTCAGGTTGGACCTATTCCCAGAAAAAAGTCAAACTGGGAAATGTTGTGTGAGATGACAGACAAACAGAACAGTGGAGAAGCGTTAGAGACAGGGTCAGTGACAAGCTCTGTGTTTACTAACAATATCCCAACACATCAGGTGGTGTATCCTACTGGACACCACCCAGCAGCACCCATAGTCATGGTACCACCCCAGCACAGTCATCCTGTACATCCCTTTACAGCCCCCTCAGGGACCCCATATCCCTCTGGTGTACCCCTGGTTGTTAATCCATCTCCATTGGGGACAACACCGGCTGCCCATCCTAGTCCATCTGTAGGCAGTGAGCTATCTCATAATTCTTCATGGGACGTGCTGACACGATTAACAGAACAACAAAGCCAGCTTCAGCAGAGTCAGAACAATGCTGTTGGAAATGAGAGTGTCGTATAGCGTCACCCATAGTAACTACCCATAGTGTCACCCATAGTACTGTACCCATAGTAACCACCCCTAGTAAACATCCATAGTTACAAAATACATTTAAATATCATCATTCCATCTTGTGGTTGTGAGCTCCATATAAAACAGGTTGTTCTTTCATTTTTGGCTGTATGCAGATGTGAACAAATTAAACTGTATTTTTATTTTTATTTTATTATTTTTTTTGGTACTTAAAATATATTTTGAATGTGTAGTATGTACTGAATGAGGATAAATTTAATTCACAAGGGATGTACTATTGTATAAACGAATATTCATTACCTGTATATAAACCATAATATCGTATACTTAATAGTATAAGTTTTACATAAGTCTACATATACACGAATAAAGTGCAACATATTTATTCACATACTGTTGAATGTTCTTAAGCTGTGTTACGGTTTTTTTCACACAAATATTTTTCATACATATCAATACTATACATTACATATCATGTCTTTGTTATGCTATTTTTGCATATGTAATTAGATATAGTAGTAGATATATGAAGTATATTTTTTTTATGTTGATAACAAATAATTTCATTTGTTGCTTTGCTTTAATTTGAAAATTCATTCCATTTTAGAGGTTTATATTTAAAATTTAGAAACGAATGTTTAATGCATGTATGAATGTTCATCTTTTGAAGTTGATCCAACATTTTTGTTGTTCAAATGAAGGGGGTATAAAAATTAAAATTATTTTTGGAAAAATGTAGAAGTTTTAAGATTTAATTTGAACTTGAACAATTTTATATACATGTGTGTAAGGTTTCTCTGCAAACTCATATATTATGTCCTCTTTTGTCAAAGTTGCACTTAAAAGTCGTATTTCATGCAGCTAATAAGAAAGTTTAATTTCATAAAGCTTTTAAAAAGTACTGTAAATTGTGATGAAAGGGTAATCTTGATACTCCTTGTTTTAATCATGGTGCACAATTTATTGAAATATATCGAAGTACTTTACAATTCCAAAGGACCCGACTTCATTTTCAAGCATGTGTGCTGACTAACACGTTTTATTTTTTATTTCTTAAACCACCACCTGCTGTAAGTTTAAGGAGGTAAACAGTTTTTTTTATCCCTTAGTTTAAATGAGCTTTACAGTGATTTAATTAGGAAGTAGTTCATTTTTGCAGTTTGAGTTTAAGTGCTACATTATTGCAACACATACAAGATGCCCTTTGCCGAGTTAATGCACAGGGGCCAGTAACATACTATGTTTGTTTTTACGTTATCACTATTTCTTTTTGTATATATATAGTGATAAAGTAAGTTAATGCACAGGGGCCAGTAACGTACTATGTTTGTTTTTACATTATCACTATTTCTTTCTGTATATATATATATATATATATATATATATAGTGATAACATAAAATCAAATATAGTACGGTAATGGCCCCTGTGAGTTAATGAGTTATAGTACATTACTGGAGTTAATGACGTGTTTTAGAAATGTTTTATCTTATATTTTTTTTGTAAATATTCTTTAGAATTTAATCCATCTCATATGCATGTATGGCATAACTTCAGTGTAGAATCATTAGAAAATCAAATATTAAGTATTCATGTGTATTGGGTACATATTGTAATTTTTACAAATCAACTTTAAAACTACAAATTTATGATGTTATTGGTTACTGTAAGCATCTAGGAACAAAATTGAGTAGAATGTTCTAAGCAAGGGTTGCTTGGTAACAGTAAAAAATTGGGAAAATGATGCAATAGCATAGATTCTAGTTTCTCAACCTTTTTTTGGACTAGATTGGGCACATGTAAAATTATTGTAAAGATTGTTAATTTGCCTTATTTACAGAAACAATGTAAACCTGTTTTAGTGGAGTCCAGGCTTATTTACAGAAACAATGTAAACCTGTTTTAGTGGAGTCCAGGCTTATTTACAGAAACAATGTAAACCTGTTTTAGTGGAGTCCAGGCTTATTTACAGAAACAATGTAAACCTGTTTTAGTGGAGTCCAGGCTTTGAGGATGCAGGGCATTCTCATTTGTTGAATTGTATTTCGATTTTTTAAAATTGCAATTTATCATTTAATACATTCCAATATATGTAAAAATTTAAAGTGCTGTAAAACTTTATAGTATTTTGGTTTTTTTTTCACACATTCCATGAAGATTTTTATGCTGTTTTTAATCTTTTCTTAGAATGCTTAGAACTCCAGAATTTTTAATTGTCAAGATCACTTTTATTAGAAAGTATTGATTATTGAAAGTGTGTGATGCATAAATTTTTGTATTTTAAGCTGTGTATATTTATTTTTAATTAATTGTGCCATGAATGAAAACAGTGTTAGAATTAGTAATAGCCATTAATAAACTTGATAATTTTAGTAATGTAATATACATGTATACATATTCATATTCAAATATGGTCTCCATTAATAATTTTTAGAAAAATCAAAGATTTAAATAAGAGAAAATAAAGTGGATTTGAAGTGATAAAAATGCTTACACCTAAAAAATACCTTTAATATTTATATATTTTCCCTTGTGTTCAAACAAGAGGGAGTAATTACAAAATAGCATTTTCTGTTGATTTGTATACAAAGGAGTTTCAAAAATTTCATGATCATATTTCATCGTATGTTTCATTCTTTCAGTTTGTTTACAACACTGCAATTCAACTTGTATTTGAAATGTATATACCATTGATGAACTAAAATGTGCAATTGCATAGAAGTGATTTCAGAACTCATTTAAAGTCATTTAGAATATATTTTGATTTGTGAATTCAGAATTTCGCTCTACGATTCCAGTATTTGTTTAAGGAATAAAAGGGATTAATCTGACTACCTTGATTGTTGATTGAATATTTCTAAAATTATAATTTCATTTCATCAAATAAACTCTTGAAAACAATTTAAACAGTGATTACATGGACGTATCGTGCAGAGCGTTTAATTCCTAATATAAGATGTTTGGAGAACCTTATGCTTAGTGTAAGTAGGCAGAATAAATTGCTCTGATTCGCCACTCGGTGAGACTCGGACGTTCTGATTGGCTACTGTGATAAATCGCGGGAACACTCGGTGAGACCTAGAGTTGTGATTGGCTAATTTTGTAAATTGAACTACCACTCGGTGACACTGCTGTAATGATTTTCCCCTTAGATTCCAAAAAATCCCCTGACGTTCCCCTGTCTGTCCCTGACATTTTCCTGTCTCCCCCTGACTTTCTCCTATGATCCCCTGTCGTTGTCCCTGACTACCCTGTCTACTCCCTGACGTCCCCTGACTTTGCCCCTGTTACCACTGTCTAACCCCTGATGTCCCCTGACATTCCCTGACGTCCCTGTCAACTCCCTGATGTCCCCTGACTAAGTCCCTGACCACCCTGCCAACCCCCTGTTGTCCCCTGACATTCATTTTGACCAGGAAAAAGGGTTAGAATATGTTTTGTTGCTATTTACTTGTGAGAAATACGTTACTCTTGGCAATTCTTAAGCTTTGTGAAAATATATATTTAGTCAATTGTTATTTGATTGAATATCTTGAGTAATTTATTTCTTAATATGATTGTATTTGATTGTTTTAGTTTACTACATGAAGCTTTTAGATAAATTTTAAGGAGAATAAATGCCAGTTACTTTGAAAAGAATGAATTACAAATTTGTTGTGTCTTGTTATGAATGGCAAGTAAATATATCTATATTTATTTATATGTTTATCTATATATCCACATGTATTTATTTATTTGTTCTATTTATTCATTGACTAATTTATTAATTAAATCTGTTCATATATTTCTTTTTAGATATATTTTCCTTATTGAATTATTAATTAATTGATAAATATTATATATTTATTTAGTTTTTAATTTATTTTATTTTAATTAATTAATTCTATTTTATTCAATTTATTTGTGAGTTTCGCATAAACAGTCGTAAGGTAAAACAAAATATGCTTCAAAGTATCTTTTAAGCATATTTACATTTCTTTTAATTTCATGATGGGTATCAAATTAATTGTCTTATTACACACAATCTGAATTCGGAATTTGTTTTATTGCTTCTTTTGCTTTGGTAAAAAAAAAAATTAAAAATGTTCCTCAAAGACTGTCATGGCTGTGAGAGTAGTTCCGAGCTGTTGATAGTTGACCAGTGACTCTGGGTACACAGACCAGACACCTATTGTTCTTTTGACTGACCACTATACACTGTGGCAGCATGACCGTATCCACTCTGCAGGTGTTATTTCTTTCACAACCGTGACAGGTTTTTGAGGAATTTTTTATTTTACCAAAGTAAAAGAGATAATAAAACAAATTTCAGATTCAGATTGTGCGTAAGGAGACGATGATTTTGATACCCATCATGAAATTAAAAGAATTAAAAGTAATTTGAATATGCTTACAAAATAGTTTGAAGCTAATTTGTTTTACCCGGAGATTGTTTATGAATAACTACACAAATTGAATTAAATAAAAATTAATCAATAAATTAAAATAAAGGAAATAAATAAAGTAAAATAAGATAAATAAATAATTTAAATAAATTAATTTATTTATTAAAAATTAAATAAAACAAATAGGTAAAAATAAATTTGATAGATACATGTATAATTAATAAATGATTGAAAAAATAAATAGATAAATAAATGGTCAAAGACATAAATAAAAAAGATACATCAATAAATTCAATTCAAATAAATTGATAAATTTACTAAAGATACTTCAAACAAATAATTAGTTACAAAATCAATATTTTTATTTATTGTTTTACTTATTTCTTTGTATATTTTCCTATTTATTTATTTTTTTATCTATCTGTTTATTTATTTATTTAATCTATTCATTTCTTTTCTTTTAGATATTTGTTTTATTCAATCATTAATTAATTAATGTTATTTCTTTCTTTATTTATTTTGTTAATTCATTTTATTTTAATTAATTATTTTTTTCAATTCCTATTTATTTTTGTGGTTCCCCATAAACAGTCTTACGGAAAAAACAAACGATGCTTCAAACTATTTTTAGGCATATTTACATTTCTTTTAATTCTTTTAATTTCATGATGGGTATCAAAATAATTGTCTTATTACACACAATCTGAATTCGGAATTTGTTTTATTGCTTCTTTTACTTTGGTAAAAAAAAATTAAGATGTTCCTCAAAAACTGTCATGGCTGTGAGAGTAGTTCCGAGCTGTTGATAGTTGACCAGTGACTCTGGGTACACAGATCAGACACCTATTGTTCTTTTGACTGACCACTATACACTGTTATTCTGTGGCAGCACGACCGTATCCACTCTGCAGGTGTTATTTCTTTCACAACCGTGACAAGTTTTTGAGGAAATTTTCATTTTACAAAAGTAAAAGGGAACAATAAAACAAATTTCAGATTCAGACTGTGCGTAATGAGACAATGATTTTGATACCCATCATA